GGGAGGCCCGAGAGCCCAGCTTGGAGCACTCGGACCAGGGACAAGGCAGCCATCAGCAGGGCTTCTGGCCATCAGTAGGGCTCCTGGGCAGTTCTACAGGGGGCGTGAGGTTCTCGGGAAGCAGCTGTGCAGGGATGCTCTTAGTGGTCTGAACTTCTTCTGAGTTCTGAACTCCCCTCCCCACTCACTCCTCAGGCATCCTAAAATGTACACAGTCCCTTTCTCCACTTCCTGAGCTAGTGGCCCTTTGGTCACATGAAAATGCCCAGTTGGCCTATATGAGCAGGTGTACCAGCTCATGACAGCACACTGTGACTGTCACACTCCTGATATAGGTGATCAGATCATCTCAAGGCAAAGGGCCCTGGGATGTTGCTTTGAAAATGCCTGCAGAACAGACACTTCTGAGCAGAGCTCAGTGCCCCTGGGCAGCAGTTCTCCAGCAGGCACCCAAATGGCTCTGAGCCCTTCAGAGATGGTGCCAGCCCCAAGATCAGGAGCCATTGCAGGGTCTAGTTCTGAGCCCTGGGACAGACAAGATGGAGGCAGGTGTTGGATGCGCACAGCCAATGTAGGCCTTCAGGAGTGCTGTCTGAGCAGCTGTGACTCAGACCAAGAACCCCATTCTCCATCCAGAGGTTGGTGTGGAGGACACATGCCAGGACCCTCCACCCTGGCATGGGACAACTGGCCCTGTGGTTGAGTGTGGGTGCATCAAATGTAGATCTCAGGTATGATATAGCCTGTGGAGTGCTGGGACTGCATATATGTATGCCATTTCCTGTTAAGGAATTACCTCTCATTTCCCACTTGTTCCTGCTTGGGGACACCAATGAAATACATCTGTGCACCTACTAGTTTGCCTTTAAGAAAGAAAAAAAGAAAATGCCTGATGCAGTGGTTCTCAACCTGTGGGTCACAACCTCTTTGGGGGGCTGAAAGACCATTGGAAAACAGATATTTTATATTATGATCATAACAGTAGTGATATAGAAACAAAATAATTTTAATGTTGGGGGTCACCACAACATGAGGAACTGTATTTAAAGGGTCGCAGCATTAGGAAAGGTTGAGAACCACTGGGTTAGAGCCTCCTGACTCGGTACTTTTTTATATGTGTAGATGTGTACACTGGATAGCTAGCTGCCTTTTGTTATTTTTAGAAATTTGTTTTTTTCTATTTCTATTTTACGTGTATAGATGATGTCTTAGATTTTTGTTGTTGTTGTTTTGTGGGTTTTTAAAAATTTTTTTTTTCAAGACAGGGTTTCTCCGTGTCACAGCTGTGGCTGTCTTGGAACTCACTTTGTAGACCAAGCTGGTCTCAAACTCACAGAGATCCACCTGTCTCTGCCTCCCCAGGGCTGGGATTAAAGGCGTGAGTCAACACAGCCTGGCTCGTGTATTAGTTATTTTTTTATTAACCTGCTAAAACTTCGTGGCCAAAGCTAATTATAAAGGCATTTAATTTGGGGATCATGGTTCCAAAGGGTTAGAGTCCATGACCATCATGGTGGGGAGTGTGGCGGCAGGAAGGCAGGCATGGCACTCGAGCAGTAGCTGAGAACTTCCTTATCCACAAGCATGAGGCAGAAGCAGTACACTAGGAAGGGTGTGGGCTTGAAACCTCAAAGCCCACCCCCAGTGACACACCTCCTCCAACAAGGCCACACCTCCTAATCCTTCCCTAACAGTTCCACCAACTGGGAATCAAGAATTCAAACATGAACCTATGGGGGCCGTTCTCATTCAAACCAGCACAGGTGTTCTGCCTGCATTTATCTCTCTGCATTATGCACAAGCCTGCTGCCAGAAAAGAGATCTTAGGGAACTGGCGTTAGACAATTAATTATGAGCCTCCATGTGGGTTCTGGAAATTGAAGCCGGGTTCTCTGCAAGAGCAAAGGTGCTCTTAACTGCTGAGCCATGTCTCCAGTTCCCTTGTTGTTTTGAGACAGTATTTCACACTGTAGCTTCTGGCCCTGAACTCACAACTATCCTCCTGCCTCAGCCTTCCAAGTGCTGGGATCACAGGCATGCACCAGCAGGCATAGCTGTAGAAGTCTTTTGTTAGGTGAACTATTACAAGTGTCTTCTCACTATGTGCTGCTTCCTGATTTTATTTATTTTTTTGAGGTCTATGTAGCTCAGGCTGGCCTCAAACTCTGAATCCTCCTGCTTCAGCCTCCTGAATGCTAGGATTTAGCAAGCATGCACCATACCCATTGCATATATATATATTTATTTGGTGCATGTGTGTCAACGTTGAATGTCTTCCTCAATCACTTTCTACATAGTCTTGGCTGTCCTGGAACTCAGAGATCCACCTGCCTTTGACTCTAGAGTTCTGGGATTAAGGACATGTGTTACCATGCCCCAAATCTCACCTTATTCATTTATTATTTATTTAAAAGACGTGTAACTCATGGATGAGTGAGTGCCTGGTAGAGGCCAGAAAACGGTGTTGGATCCCTGGAGCTGGAGTTCTAGATGCTGTGAGCCACCCAACATGAGTGCTGGGAACCTAACTCAAGTCATGTTCTTAACTGCTCATCCAACTCTCCAGCCACTCCACACTATTTTTGAGACAAGGTCTCTTCACCGACTCAGGGCTCTGATTCAGCTAGACTGGCCAGCAAGCTCCAGGGACCCACCAGTGCTCGAGTCGCAGTTATTTGTGGCTGTCTGGTTTCTCACATGAGTTCTGGTCCTCATGGCTCTCTCCAGTCCTGCTTTCCTGAATGTCAACCCAAATGTCCTTTTTATGAACAAATTTCTTAATTTTAATGTAGTACAATTAATCATTTCTGTATGCATCCTGTTTAAAAATCCACGCAAAGTTTGAGGTCACAATCCCTGGGTTGTAACCTAGAAGTAGTATTTTCCCCCTTTGCTTTTTGTTCGTTTGTTTATTGTTTTGAGACAAGGTCATATGGTCCAAGTTGGCCCCAAATTCACTATGTTGCAAGGCTGACTTTGAACCCCACAATTCTCCTTTATCTCCCAAGTGCTAGGATTACAGGTATGGACCACCACACCTGGCTTAGAAGCCATATTATTTACTTTGGTATTTAGATTTAAACAAAACAAAACAAACCCTCAGACATGGCTGTACACCACTAACATTGTAGGTGACAGCCAGGTAGAGGCAGGAGGACTGTGAGTTCAAGGCCAGACTGCACTACAGAGGAGGCAATGAACCAAAAACCAACTGTGGCTCTATCTGCTGAAAACGCTGGCTTTGGGCCCCTTCTCCTTGGGTCTGAATCCTCCGGGCTGGAGTTAGAGACTGTTACCCACTACTACACCTTTTGTTCTTCACTGCATGGGTCCAAACACAGGCACCTTGTAATCCACCTCTGCTCGGCAATACTGCTGCAGCTCTGACCACTTTGAAGTCTTTAGTGAAGGGGATGGCAGAAGGTACCTGCAGGCACACACATACACCCCTGCCCCCCCCCCCCCCCCCCCAGTGCCTGTCCATTCCTGATTTCCTGTTGATTTTGTAATAATGAGTACTTGGACTGGGCTGGAAGGGCACTGACTGCAGAGAGGGTTTTCTGCAGTACAGGGTACCGACCCTGGGTCTCATACACACCAAGCAACACTGAGCATGGCCAGCTCAAATGCCCTCCTCCATCACTTACTCTTGTGTGAACCTAAGAAGTCATTTCTGCAGGCTGGGCAGGCTTTGATGTCCCCATCTGTAAATGGAGACCCCACCACCATTAGGTGAAGGGGCAGCTGATACCAACAGTAGGAATGAGGTGGAAGCTGTGCCATCTTTTGAATATTTTATTCACTTATCTTTTCAATCCTCACTGACTTTTCTCTATGGCCAGGTGGTGCCCTTGGATGTATCTGGCCAGTGACTTGTTCTAGATGTTAAGATAATTAGCAGCTAAAAGCTTTCTCAATGTCACCTGAACGTCTTCTCTGCTCCACATGCTCCGAAGGCAGGGGTTCTCAGAGGGTGTGAGCAGTAACATGCTAAGGCCACAGAAACACAAGGTGGTAAATGGGACTCACCTAACTCATCCTGGGCTATCCAGCACGGTGTAGGGCTATTGGCACCAACTGACAGGCTCTAAGCCATCACCTTAAGAGGCAAGGCCTGTTGGAAGCCCAGGGATTGTCCAAGAATGCATCCAATTCAGAAATACCCAGCTCCCTGCCAGGGGCAGGTGACAAACTAGAACCTGGTGGCGTGGTTGCTCCTCGGAGGCTGGACCCTGACAACTGCTGACTCGCCACTCCTGGTTGCTCCTGATGGGTGGGGGTTTTGTCCATGGGATGTCAAGTATTTGGAAGTACAATTCATTAGACTTATGATGGCATCTGGAATTTTCTCAGCCAGCATTCAACACAGCATGCTATTCCACTTCACAAGAGGACAGTGGCCAAGGCTCACCTCCAGTAAGGGTCAGGTCCTGGCTGTGCTGGTGGTGTTTCCTGCTTGGAAAGCAGAGGCAACAGAGGTAATCCCTGGTTGTTCTACGGCTGCCCCAGATCTGATTCCAGAGCGAGCACTTCAGATTCTAAAAACCTGCAAGTAGCAGCTCTCCAGGCAGGATCATCCAGGGGGATGGAAGCTCAAAGAAACAGCTTTGAAGGAATGTCGTGGGTCCCACTGAGGATATCAGAGGCACACAAGCACACAAGTTGCAAGCCAATTTGAAGAGGATGAAATATTTACAGGATGTAGATTACGGTGTAGAGCACTCACTGAGCATGTATGAGGCCCCAGGTTCAATCTCTAGCACTTTGCATGCAACACACACACTCTCTCTCTCTCTCTCTCACATAACTTTCATGCTCTCACATGTAAGCACTCTCTGGAGTTTCCTGCTAAACCTGAGATACAGGCCTCACCCAAAACAGGTAAGTTTCAGAAAGGAAAGCGACAAAAGTAGGCACGAAGTGGAAAATATGGTATTTTCCAGACAGAAATAAGTTTCTCCAGACATCAGAAAAATAACCTAAATGATGCTAATTATACAAAGGCTTTAAAAAATAACATTTATTTATCAATTATGTGCACATGTGGAGGTCAGAGGACAACCTATGCATTTCTAACATGTGGGTCCCAGGCATAGAACTCACTCAGGCTGTCAGGCCCGAAAGGTGCATTTATCTGCTGAGCCATCTTGCTGGCCTTACAAAGACTTCCCCAGGATTTCCAACCTGCTTTCTATTGCATGGACACTGGACACACATGGCTTAGCAAACACCCCACACACCTCTATATTAGCCATCAGTTCTTTCTAAGCAGCACACAGTTTCTGATGAGGGTGTTGCCTGTTTTTCTATATTTGCATCCTTTAGTATTATTTCCTGTTTTTTGGAGACAGGTCTTCATTCTAGCTTTGTCTTGGAACTCACAATGCAGCCTAGGCTGGCTTCAACTTGTTGCAATTCTACTGTTTCAGCCCGAGTGCTAGGATTATGGGTGTATGCCACCATGCCTGGAATAGGATCTTTTTTTTATTTTGGAGTCAGGGCCTTTCTACGTAGCCCTGGCTGTCCTGGAACTATATCAAGCTGGCCTTGAACTCACATCTGCCTGACTCTTCCTCCAGAGTGCTGGGATTAAAAACAAGCACCACCATGCCTGATTTAGTGTTTTCTTTTGTTTGTTTTTTGAGACAGGGTTTCTCTGTGTAGCCTTGACTGTCCTGGAACTCACTCTGTAGCCCAGGCTGGCCTTGAACTCAGAGATCCACCTGCCTTGCTTTCTCAGTGCTGGTAATAAAGGTGTGTGCCACCACTGCCCAGCAGTATCCTTAATTCTTAAAGGCAATTCCAGAAGTGAAAAATTCCTTTAAGACTAGCACCCAGGAGGCAGAGGCAGGTGGATCTTTGAGTATGAGGCCAGCCTGGTCTACACTGGCCTCTGTTCAGTTCCTGCCTCCAACTTCTTGTTCTCTGACTTGAGAGTTATAAGGTGAAAGAAATCATTTCCTCCCCACATGAGTTCTGGTGCTTCAATCACAGCAACAAGAACTTAACTAGGGCAGATGGGTACGAGTTCTCAATGTTCACCCGGGGCTGTGGGGTAGCTCACCAGTGAGGCCCTGTGCTCTGCCCAGGAGTGAAGTCCACCAGAACCGTTTGCCAGCCACAGCTGGAAGGGACTTGTCTCTGAACACAATGTAGGTGACCTGCCCCATTCAGATTTCGTTTTCAGAACATGCTCTCACTAAGCTGGCCTGAAACTCATTATGAAGAATTGGACTTAAACTTGTGATCCTTTTCCTTGGGAGACTTGGGAGGGGTGCTGATCTCAGTCCTTGAGAAGCAAAGGCAGAGGGATTATTGCACATTCAAGGCCAGGTTCCTCCACATACTTAGTCAACACCAAGCCAATCAGGAGAGCGAAAGGATATTCTCAATCAACCAAAACTAAACACTTCCCCCAAACAACAAACAAATACCAAGAGCAAAACAAAACAGTTAAAGGCAAGAGGCGCTCGAGTAAGGGGGAGGAACCACGCCCTGTGTCCACTCACTAAGGTGACCCTGCCTGTCCCACTTAGAGTCCGGGGAATGCTGTCACCAACCCTTGCCACCAGCCTCATGAAGCCTAAGGAAAGGCACTATTCTGTGTAAAACATTCACAAAGGACAACACACAATGTACCAAAGTCTGCTTACTATTTCCTAAGATGGTCAGAACACTTGGTCAAACGATCAAGCTAACACGCACATTGCTCAGGACATCCCGGGGACACTGAACACTAAGGATTTTTTTCTATGTTTGTTTTTTGTTTATTTTCAATACAAAGCAGCTCTCATTCTGAAGACCCAGAGCAGCTGAGTCAGGCTTCGGGAATGTTCATAGGCTAGGCGTCCTCTCTCCATGGGATCTCTGCATAGATCATCACCAGTGTGCTTGTGCTCACTGTACAGTGAGGTGTCTCAGGTAATGGCGCTGGCTCTTTCCCTGTGCAGCCAACAGCTCCTAGCCCCAACACCACCTTCACTGATCAGATGATGCCCCAGCAGTCCATGAGGCTGCCTGAAGCCTGGAGTTGGCTCAGCCAAAGTAAAGACTTACACTCACCAGAGTAAAGACTGAAATGTATTCTCTCTAGATTATAAAAGGCTAGAACTGTTTAATGGGAACAACCTGGGACAAGCAGAAAGAGCTCTGATGGGCAGGATTGGGCAGCACAGGACTAAGAACCACACCTCTCCACAGCCCTGCCCTGAAGGATGCCGACCGGACTCCCCTTCCAAGGCACACATCACAGACTTGCAGCTTCATCAGGCTAACTCATTACTCCTCTGAATTTAAAAGTATGTTTTCCTCTTCTCTGTGGTGGAAAGTGTCCAGCTGTCAGGGCTCTCGTCTAGCACAGGTGCAGAACTGCTTTGTTGATCTCGGGGTTTGTCCAGTCGTTCCGAATGTCATCCAGGTGGTTATCAAAATCCACGAGTGTTTCATAGGAGCGGCTGTCCAGGAGTGATGCCAAGATCCTCTGTGCCTCCGGCCAATCTTCACAGTAGTCGCTGCAGGGCAGACAGGAGTCAGTCTCATATCTACCTCAAGACCACACAGGCTGCCAAGGACAGAGCAGCTGCTGGGAAACACATAAAGATGGACCCAAGACATTTGCAAATGGACAGGTCCCCTCCAAACAGGGTACTGAAGAACCTAGGGGGACATGGCTGAAGAATCCGTGTGATCAGAAAACAAATCAAACATGGGAGGAGCGTGGTGCCATGGGTCTGTGGGGAGACCAGCAAGTACCACCCAGACCCTGTCCTCCATAGAAACCCCCCAGTCTAGGCCCTGCAGGAGGGCACTGCACTCACTGGTGTGGGTCTCTGCATCTCCACCTGTTCTCATGGTGCTCGTACACATGGATGGTAGGTGCTGCGCAGTCCATCGTGAACTTGGCATTGTCCACCTGGAGAGAAGGTGAGGGTCACGACAAGCATGAGGAGTGCTGACAAGAGAGAGCAGTGCCTTCCTGGGCTCCTATTAGAGCAGCATCAACAGCAGACAGGCTCATCAAGGGAACTCTGTGCTGCACAGGGTGAATGGGAGGCACTTACCCAACTTTCCACAAAGGCAGAGCGGAACGCTCAAACCGGATCCCTCCCCACTCAAGACTGTGTACTCAGACTATGCAGGCTAGTCCCTACCCTAAGCTACACTGGCTTTTACCAGTGGTCCCTGTTTTTGCTGGGCCACCACCAGGGTTTTGGGTTCAGTGAGGTTGGGGAGCAGGCCAGGCCTGCTGGAGTTGAAAACCTCCCTCCCCGCCCCAGTGTGTGCCTGCAGTAGTGCTCAGCCCACCACTGTGATGTGGGACGGCCCCAGGAGGGAAGCAGCTCACACAGCAGCAGGAGTGAAACTCACCATGATGAGTGCAGTGTCACTGAAGCCCTCGGCGATCCTGGAGGCCACCTTCTCTGCCACCTGGTTCGGGCTGTAGAGAAGGACCTATGAGCTCTACCACACTCCAGCTGAGCCATCAAACAGTCCCCTCTGTCAGCACAATTCACCAACACCTGAATTAACCAGCAGCACTGGAGCCAACGGACTGCTGGCCCAGTGAGATGACTTGGGGGCTATGAATGCCACTGGGGCTGTGTGGCACACTGCCAGAGTGGGCCCCGACTCACTCCTCCAGCAAGCCCTTGTAGAGGGGACCTGGGGACATCTCCTGAAAGGGTAGGGCTTTCCTTCTTCTGAAGCTCAATGGAGTGTTGCCTAGGGCAGGCTGATGACCTGCTGGGCTGCAGACTGTACTAAATGTGAGTCTCTGGGGCCTGTACTCGCCACATGCCTGCTACTCAGGTGGCTTGTCCACGGCAACTAGTCACAGGAGGTTCAGGGCCCTGGCAACCAAATCCTCTTTTGAAACCAAGCCACTTTGAGGACTCTAAGCCATTTCACATCTTCTCTATGCTAAGAGCTTTCCATTTGGTACCACCTCAGTTTAACCACTGACACTGGTATCTCATGTTGACAAAGCTTCTCTAGCCATGCTCGGGGTAGGTCTGCAACTTTTGCTGTTGTAGCCTGCCTCTTCCTTCAGGGCCCTCACAGGGAGACTGAAGGGCCCATCTGGCTCTGTACAGAGCTAGCTGTGTGGCATCCACAGCCTTCTCCACAGCAGCTTTCGTACAGGGTGGACAAGCACTTGTCTTCCACCCAGAGGCAGAATCAAGGGCCAGAAGGCACAGAGAACAAGAGATAGCAGGAGAAACGGTGGACCTGAGCAGAGGGCTTCCACAGGTTCTGGGTGGTACCAGAAGGTGTCCTGACAGACTCAATGAGCCCAGCATCTAGCTGTGGGATGGTCTATATGTCAAACTGCTCTGGTTGGTCAAGAAATAAAACACTGATTGGCCAGTGGCTAGGCAGGAAGTATAGGCGGGACTAACAGAGAGGAGAACTGAAAGAACAGGAAGGCGGAAGGAGTCACTGCCAGCCACAGCCATGACAAGCAGCATGTGAAGATGCCGGTAAGCCACGAGCCACATGGCAAGGTATAGATTTATGGAAATGGATTAATTTAAGCTATAAGAACAGTTAGCAAGAAGCCTGCCACGGCCATACAGTTTGTAAGCAATATAAGTCTCTGTGTTTACTTGGTTGGGTCTGAGCGGCTGTGGGACTGGTGGGTGACAGAGATTTGTCCCGACCGTGGGCAAGGCAGGGAAACTCTAGCTACAGCTATCAGCTTAGTAAGAGTCCCTGGCTGGAATGTAGGCCTCCAAGGATAAGGTGGGAATATCTTTTGAATATTCCTAAGCCTCATCAGTGATGGTAGTGCGGGTCCTCCAGCTCACTGTTTTATTTCTAAGAAGAGCCCATGGGCCACCCCATCGTCCATACTGCATAAGCACACTGGGGTCTGTTGGCACCATGTGACCACACAAGAAAACCCCAGTACTTACTGTGTGGGCATTTTCCAGCTGTCCCCTGGCTTCTAGCTGGCTGCAGCCAAAGGAAGCCTCTGGAGGACAGCAGAGGGTATGGAAGAGGGACATCAGTACCGACTGATCTGGGTCTCCCTTCCCTGATGTGGGACCTATCAGGCTGGCTGCTGGCCATGTCCTGTGGCCAAAGGATGTTGCTCCTCTGGAGGTGGCCTTCTTTACCAGCTCTTCCTCGCTGGCCCTGGAGGGCTGAGGGATGGAGGCTGCTGTCACCGGCTTGGTCCTTGTACACAGCTCCTGAATTCTATCTATGGCCCACCCCTTTAGGAGTAGTTCACCTGTGAGCTCCTTAAGTTGCTCTGACGGAAGGTGTACTTGGCTAGGTTCTTGGGACCCAGTCTGAAGCAGACAGTTAACTTATCTTTCTCGAGAGAGAGCTGAGGTGGTGGCATCTTGGGTGGAGGAACCTGGAGCCAATTCAGGTGCCAAGACTACACTTTTACCATAGGCCCCATCCTAACAGCTCCAAACTCTAAACCACTTTACTTACTTATGCAAAAGAGCAACTCTGCTCTCCACAGCATCTTGTTTTGGAGTGAGAGGAAGCAGGCTAGTGGACACAGGCAGACCTGGCAGCTGGTCCCCCTCTTTGAGTTCCCTCCCCACACAACAGACAAGCCATGGATGAGAAATCCTGGCTACTCATCTGGCCAGTTGCCTGTACATCTGATAAGCAGGGGTGGGGGCTGGGGGCTTGCACAGGCTTTGAAGCCTGCAGAGAGAGAGGGGAAAGAGCACCTCAGCGACGGCTCTCTAGCTTCTAAGCCACCATCCACAGCTGTGCACCCGTACCTGGCATCCTTCACACGCTCATTAGCTTGGTAATAGCCGGCGATCACATAGCTGTTCTCTTTGCACCACGAGTCAATCTGAAAGGACACAGATGGGAAAAACGACCATAGCACCAGGCCTTGGTGCTGCACAGCCCCACCACACGTGGGACAAGCCACACTACAGACAGCCCTTGCATTCTCCCTGCCTACAATGAAAGGAGAGCTCACAGAGGTTAGGGAAACGCACAAGGGCAGGGCCCAGAAGCAGGGTCCTCCCAGACAGGCTGTACTGGGTTCAGTAGCTGAAGTGTCCTTGGTGTCCTTGGCGGCTGACACCACACAGAGGCAGTGCTGTGTGGATCTGAGAGGAAGCTTCTGGATTCATTCCTTATTTTTTTAAAGCACACAGCATGCTGGGTGCTGCTGTAAGTCCAGCTTTCAGCAGTTCAGGGAAACTGGAAAGGAGGTGTGGCATCGGCAGAGCTGCAGACACACACAGGAGACTTTGAGGGCCAAAGCTTAATTCTTCATTTTAGTTGTCTTTCTGTTGGTTGGTGGTTTTCCTTTCTACGTTTCCCTTATCTTATGCTTTTACTTCTTCTCTGATGGTTCCCTTTACACATTTCCTCCTCCTATCTTGTTTTCCTCTTATCCCTTTTATACTTCCTAACACAAAGATTTTTACACAAGAAAAGATTACCTCATAACCATAAGTCACATATTTTGCAAAAACCAATTAAAATCTTTACAAAAGAAATCACATTAAGAACATGTTATATGTTTTTCTTAGAAGCCCACAAGTAGTTAAATGTTTTTTTCCATCCTAAAACAACGATTCTTTATTAACTGATTAACAAAGTTTGAGGCAAGCTAAATATATTTCAGCCAGTTCCTTTTGTACTGGCTGTTTGCGGCTTCTGTGTAACAGATTTCCATTTTCTACTCTAGAGGAACGTTAAACAAGTGGTCAGTTCACCATCTATTTTCCTTTACACACAATAGAATCATTTAATTTCCTTTCACAACTTTGTTTTTTCAAGGTGCATACTAGGGCCTGTGATTAATTCTGTAAGTTACATGACCAAGGAACTCAGGCCAAACCCTGAATGTGGGGACATAATTGCTCTTTTTGATCATCAATCAGCCTGCTTTTCTACAGGCAGAATTCATGGGTGTATAATACACGAAACTTGTTTTCATCTTCTGTAAGTCTCACATCTAAAGGGGAAGGTGACTTTTAGCCTATATTTGCCTTTTTGTATCTTTTATTGGAGCAATTGGCAGGATAACCTAAACCATTTCCTTAATCATCCTTACTGTATTTATCTTAACCACATGTATCTTAGGCTAACTCAGAAAGTCCAATTAAATCACAGATCTAACTAACTAATCACCATTGCTTATAAAAATCATCTTCATTATGATCTGCAAGTAAACTGCCCAGTGAGGAGTGGGTTTTCTCAGGCAACAATCATACTGTATTAGATACGGTGGGATCCTTTCACATGGTAATCCCCCCATGCCGAATACAGCAGCAACTAGGCAGCAGCAAGCAGGGGGAAGGACAGCAGAAGCAAGGGGCGCTCTGTAGACAATCCTCCCGGGGCTTGGCTCTCCAGGATGCACCAGAGCAGCTCTGCTATCCTCTGGGTTGTATCCCGTAAGTTCTGCTGCTGTCTGTAGCTCTGCTGACACAGACATCAGCATCTCCTCCTTTAAATTTTTTTTTTTTCAATTGAAGCATATGAATTTTTCTCTGGGCTGAATGGATAACAGATCCTAAACGTCTGAAGGTGACTGGACGGGAAAACAAGAGCAGGATGATTATTCCCATGATGATTCCTAGATTTAAGAACGCTCTATAAGGAATTATCCTTTACAAAATTTTTGACTGGGTTAGCAAAGTAATTGCCTATCTCTTTTGTTGAAGAAGCTTGTATTTTAGAATGACAAATCTGAGAATGGAGTACGTCCATATTGATGGCAAATTGTGAGCTATCCCAGATACCTCATAGATGTGCCTGTATTTGGTCCCAAGACATTTCTGATCTATTGTAAGACATAGGAGTAACACAAACTAGCAGTATGCACCCTCTGAACTAAAACCATAAGCTGACACAGATCTCAAAATTGCCAATTAAAGCAGTTAACAAACTGCTCTGGCCGCAAGAATGCAGTAACAACCTGTTTCAACGCACACACAGCAGGATCCTCATACCAGGGTAGTAAAAGATTAACAGGAAGCAAAAGAACATATGGAAGCTGTCTGATTACAATATATGTATCAGGACCATGGAAAGAATTTATACAATTAGTAATAAAACTTTTTTTTTTTTTTTGGTTTTTTGAGACAGGGTTTCTCTGTGTAGCTTTGCGCCTTTCCTGGAACTCGCTTTGGAGACCAGGCTGGCCTCGAACTCACAGAGATCCGCCTGGCTCTGCCTCCCGAGTGCTGGGATTAAAGGCGTGCGCCACCACCGCCCGGCTAAAGTATTTTTTGTTTTCTTTTCTTTTCTTTCTTTTTTTTTTGGTTTTTCGAGACAGGGTTTCTCTGTGTAGCTTTGCGCCTTTCCTGGAACTCACTTTGGAGATCAGGCTGGCCTCGAACTCACAGAGATCCACCTGGCTCTGCCTCCCGAGTGCTGGGATTAAAGGCGTGCGCCACCACCGCCCGGCATAATAAAACTTTTTTAAAGGGAAATCCAGATCAATTAAAACTAGTTTCGCTGGGCGGTGGTGGTACACGCCTTTAATCCCAGCACTTGGGAGGCAGAGGCAGTTGGATCTCTGTGAGTTCGAGGCCAGCCTGGGTTACAGAGTGAGTTCCAGGACAGGCTCCAAAGCTACACAGAGAAACCCTGTCTCGAAAAACCTAAAAAAAGAAAAAAGGAAAAACTAGTCCCATCCAGCCTTTCCACAGTGTGACACTGTGGTCTATGACTGTGTTGAGCATACTCATGCTATCTCAGGTTGGAGGTGCTAGCTTTGAAAATAAGGAAACCAATGTTCAGAGAGGCTCTGATCAAGCAGAGTTGAATAGAAACAGAGCCAGAACTGGACTTCAGTCTTGTCTGAAATCTTTAATATGGCTTTGACATGAACAACTTGTTAGTGATGCCTGTCAGAGCCGTCGTACTGTAAATGGGCACCTGGGACAGGTGCAAATGGCACCCACGTCTCTGCAGTGCAGCACACTTAGTCTCCTGTGCTGTGCTTCCAATAGAAGCGCAGCAGACTTTCAGAGCTGCACTTCTCAAAGTGCAATTTGTCACAGCTGATACGGCTTTCTGCAGGTCTAATGCCTGCCTGTGACAGACTCACAAAATAAATCTTAAACACCACCACCACCAACAAACCAATGCCCAACAACATGAGCTGGACATGGTAGCATGCATTTGTGGCCTTAGCATGTGGGGGCTGTGGCAGAAGGATCTTAAGTTTGTGGCCAGAAGCCCGTTGACACCACAATGTGTGTGGGTACAAGACTGTCTTTTTTCCCTTGGTTTTTAGAGATAAGGTTTCTCTGTGTAGCTGTCTACCCTGGAAGTCACTCTGTAGAACCAGGCCTTGAACTCAGAATCCATCTATCTTTGCCTCCCAAGTGCCTCCTAGAGGTGTGCACCACCATCGCAGAGTGCAACAAGACTGTCTTAAAAAAACAAACACAAAAATGTTTGTGTTTAAAACCTGCTTACAACCCTGGACCTCAGTCTCCAGGTCCCTGAATCACTTGTGGACTAGAATATTTCCAGATTCCCGAGAATTCATTAGTTACCATATTGGGTCAAAACCAGGGCTCACTGAACCAGCTAAAAATGCTGGTCATTCACCCAAAAGATTACGGTTATGTCCCCAAATATTTATAATGGCTCCACTGCACAAATCCCCACAAAGCTAGTCACATGTTGCCGTCTCCCCTTAAGGGAATAGGTGCTTGAAATGTCTCTACCTACAAGTTTTCCCAAACTTATCTCCATACAGCATCAGTGGGTCTTGTTCTAAATTTTGGGTTTGGCATCTTTATCTGAACTCAAACCTAAGTGATCTGCTGGCTGTTTCTTTCTTTCTTTTTTTTTCCTTCGGAGACAGGGTTCCTCTGTGTAGTTTTGGTGCCTGTCCTGGATCTCGATCTGTAGACCAGGCTGGCCCCGAACTTACAGAGATCTGCCTAGCTCTGCCTCCGAGTGCTGGGATTAAAGGTGTGCGCCACTGCTGCCCAGCTCTGCTGGCTGTTTCTAATCAAAGATGATCTTTTGAGCCGGGGCGGTGGTGGCGCACGCCTTTAATCCCGGCACTTGGGAGGCAGAGCCAGGCGGATCTTACTGAGTTCGAGGCCAGCCTGGTCTACACAGTGAGATCCAGGAAAGGTGCAAAGCTACACAGAGAAACCCTGTCTTGAAAAACCAAAGGCTGACCTTCTGCGTGTCCTTCCTGCAGGTGACCCCACATCTGACCAGTTCTCTGAGCTCTTAGGCTGGTTCCCCTTGTTTCAGGGCCATAGAACAATGTTAATTCATTATCTCACAGGTGAGAAGTCTACAATGGGGACAAGGCTGGTTCTTTCCATGAGCTCTTCTAGCCTGTCTTCCTGGGCCTACAGTCACATCCTCCTGACTGCTTCGTCCTCACACCTTACCCACTGACTTGTTTAACAACTCCCTACGCTTACTCTGGTGACTATCTTTTAAAGTCTGTTCAGCTGACCGTAGCTCTACTGTATTTATTACTGGGGCACAACGCCTATTTTTACTCCCCAGCAACCCAGCATCAGCCTTCAGCAAGCAGTCTAATCTGGCTCTTTGGCCCAAAAGTCCAGGACTCACTCCCATCTGCCTCAAACACTCACGGTACCACCCTGAACTTGTCTTCTGAGCACAGACAGTACTTGACAGGAGACTAATTCCTGTGACAAATACAATACAAACTTCAACCTATCCTATGTCTGCTGAGGACAAACTCCTCTGTGAAAATTCCAAGCACCTAACCAAATTCCAGTGGGAGAAATAAAGCTGTGACCTGGAACTTCTAGAACTCTGTGGGGAGGCTTAAAAGTGAACCAGGCCATAAAAGCCCTGCGTTGGCTTTAGGAACTGCAA